GAAAGAAGAACCCAAAGACGGAAAAAGGGAGAAATTGGGTCCCTGATGAGCAGTTAGAGCAAGGTCCCCTTGTCCCAGTCACATTGGAGGAATTTCTACCTTCAAAATTTCAATCAGTGGAGTTGCAGACATACTTTGATAAAAGAAGGGAAGAAAAGTTTACTTGACCCCTTGCCTAACCATAATTGTTTTGAGTGATGACGAGGAAGATGAGGATGAAGTTGGTTCAAAAGTTAGGGAAAGAGATTGCATTACATCCCTATCTGTATACCTGACTCACCAGAGTATACACCAACTTCTCCAGAATATACACCAGCCTCTCCAGAATATACACCAGCTTCTCCAGAGTATACGCCAGAAGCCTTTTCTCCAGAGTATTCGCCAGTACCACCAATGTACTATCAAAAGCACTCCAGAATATGTAAGGGGAACAGAACAAGAGACACTGGGTGTAGGTCCGACTTTGAGCTTGTAAAAAAGGCGAAAAAACGACTACACTTCAATGATGATGAGGTGAATGGCAGGTGTAAGTGGATGATGAAGTATGGAAGCCATTCAAATAAACAAGCAAAGTCATCTCAAGTTGAGGATCCTAATGAAGATTGGGAACTTGACTTTTCCCCTGATGATTCACCATACACATCCCCAGCTAGGACATACGATGGAGAAAGTGTATCAAGTGACCACTTTGACTTTCCTTGTAATGTCATCACTGTGGACGTAAAATTTTGAAGAGCGAAAATACATATCATTCGCAATCCAGGGTGATTGAGAAAGCAAAATTGAAGCTGGAAGGGAAACGGAAACATCAGGCGAAAGTAACTGTCTCTTTGAAAGATGAGGGTTTTGAAGCCCATCAAAATTTGAGTATTGAAAGAAGTCAAATTTCTGGACACCCTTTCCTAATTGGGTCGAATGGTTCAGTTTCCACGAGGATATGTAATACCTCGTTTTCCTTTTATATAATGGGACAGGTTGTCCAAGGCGGCCCATTGGTTCGTTTCCTTGCACAATGTGGAAACACAGTAAAAAGCAGGCATTACTTCTACGGCAGTTCGTTCTTTCTTTGGAAGGATGGGCAGCGGATTGGTACTTCAGCCTACCACCTATTCATCCCAGATTGGGACACCATGGCTTGATCGATTTCTATAGGACATTTTATAAACCAGGCATAGAAATTGAGATGTCAGAACATTGGATGACGAAAGTACATCTTCTCAAACATATGATTTCATAGAAGGCACAATTGAGGAGAAGATTAAAATTGTCCTTGACCTTCGAGAGATGGGCCTTATCGCCCAAGGGATTTGTTCCCTTTTATGGTAGAGCAAACACCATTTCTGAGGATATGAACTTCCAAATTTTGTCCTATATGAGGGGTATGGAGATCCTCAAAAACATATTAGGCATTTTTTTGAAACAGTGTGGGAAACAGCTCAAAATGAAGCACTTTGCCTAACAATTCCCCTTTCCTTAGAGGGGATCGCCTTTGACTGGTAATTGCTCCCTCGATGGAGTCATAGTGCCCAGTTGGGAGGCCATGAAGAATGGTTTTGAAGAATCTCAATGCTTTTATAGGCGTGACTCCCGGTACCTAAGAAATGGGAGAAGAGTGCAGCTCCAAGAAGATGGAGAAGTGACTGATGATGATGATCACCCTGCAGCTGGACCAGTTAACATGGTCCAAATAAGTGGGGGAATAAAAGAGTTGAGGTCAACGAAAAGGCGGTTGCTGAAGTATGCCAGACTTATTTGACCTACCGGAGGAAATTACGAAATCCTCAGACCCTCAAACGTCGGAAGTTCCACAAGTTTTGCTGGAGGAAGAGCAAGTGAAATATGATGTACTAGCTCATCTAAAGAAAATTCCAGCATTGTTGAGCGTATATGATGCACTAAAAATGTCTCCATAGCTTCGAAAGTCTTTAATATATGCCCTGTCAAGCCAGAGGATTTCCACAAAGAAATTGAGGGTAGAAATCAGAGAAGGCAACTTACATGCATGGCTATGGTAACTTTTTGGTGACAAAGACATGTTGTGCTGAAATGACAGACCATAATCGGCCTTTGTTTATCACTGGGCTTATCCATGATGTGAAAATTTCTCGAATTCTTGTTGATGGAGATCTGCGGTGACCTTCTGCCTCGGAGGGCCTTAAATTTATTGGGGTTTCGAATTTCACAACTCGCCAAGTCCGTTTGGTCATTCAAGGATTTAATCAGAATGAGCAACGCCCAATGGGGAAAATTGAATTACAACCAAGTTTGGGGATTATTGAAAGAAAGCACTGAGTTCTTGGTTATTGATGTAGACACCTCTTACAATGCTTTTGCTTGGGAGACCATGGATGCATTAATCATCATGCAGTGCCATCAACTTATCACCAATGTATTAAGTACCCGTTGCTCTTCACCAAAAAGAGGGACAAATTGTGCTGACAATGATCCGTTTGGAGAAGTAGAGGGCTACTATGCTGATGCTCGCTTTCTAACAAAGACTTCACAAAGAAAGGGAAAGATGTGAAGAAGTCTGAGATGTGAAGAATGTCAAAGACGCTCTAGAGTCTATTCTAGTTTCAACAAACAGACTTTTCGATATGGTGCAAAGTCCGAAAGGAAATTGGGGCAAAGGCTCTAGCTTCCAATAAATCCAATTTGGGATCTCAAGGGTGAGTTCACGTTGCCATTAAGGAAGGGACAGAATGCACTTATGTGGAGAAGATATATAAAATTTTTAATTTTTTGGTCCCTTCTAAAGGAAAAGGTGTCGAAACCCATAATTCACTCACTTGGAGATTGTTGACAGAAAGTGAAAGTTGAACAATCCAGAAGAAAACATCTCGAGTTTTGAGAAGCTACCTTCAGTGCAGGAAATCACACAGATGTTGGTAAAAGTTGTGTTTTAGAATCTGAAAAATACAGGAACAATGACACCCCTTTTGACTTTGCATTGACAGCTTTCGATAGAGGCAGGTACAGAAGGCTGTATATCCGCCGCTAAGACAGAGGGGGTTAGGCTATCAGGGGAATGAGGAAAAGATTTCCAGTAAAACATGATTATCACTCAAGATGTATTGGAAGATGTTGACCAAGATGGAAGCTCAACCTGCACCAACAGAATTTTGAAGCAGGAGGCCAAGCCATCGTGATGACCTTCGTTGAAATAAATCTGGGGATGAAGAGAAAAACAAACCAACCGTTCATTGTGCA